AAGCTTTCTTCAGGAGGTATTTCCAGTGTTAAATTTACCTACATGGGGCCTTATTTGGAGTGTACAAATCCTAATCTTGTTCTTCTCCTGTTCCTCTCCCCACCACACTATAGTACCTGTGTGCTTCTTTTTTAAAGCCTGAAACTGAAGGGATTATATAATCCTATCCTTTTAATAAATCTCTGTTCCAAACAAATGAGATTAAAGTACAAAATGCCTGCTAAGTTTGAGTATCCAATTAGAGACATTATCTACTTGATTTTCCAACCTGTTTGACATTCTGCATTGCTTGGCCTAGTCCATGCAAAGTGAGTGATCCACTTCAGTCCACCAGACTCCAAAACTTCAAGATGGGCCCTTGTCATATGAAAATCTCAACTAATTATTGCCTCTTGAGGCAACTTTCCCCACACTGTAGAATCTTTGAGGTGGAACAGGAATGGAAGCAAACTTGCTGGCATTCTGCCAGCACAAGTCCTGCTTTCTGTCCTTGTAATTCACTACCTTGTACGTGAGCTGTACCCAGCTCTGTGACAAATTAGACAAGAATCCAGTGAATAAAACCTACAAAGTACTGATCTGTTCCCAGAGGAAGGGTACCTTGCAGGGTTTCATTCCTGCTTCAGGAAATTTGTGGAATATAATCTGTGTGGTCATATATCCTAATGTATGGAAGCTGAATTGAGGTGCTCTGAAGGCCCCAGGTAAGCCATTTCCTTTACATCCACCATGTGGTGGCAAGTTTTGAATATATAACACATTTCCTAAATTCAGTGGCCACAGACACAAAATATGTTTTGAATCATCTCAGAAACACTTCTCCTGAAGGTCAGTTCTTTTTCAGCATTAGAAAGCAGACTCTATTCCAAATAAAAAACATTCATTATGTGGCTAAACTGCATTGGCTATAAATAGTGGAAAAAACTCCACATTTTGACTTTCAGAATTTCTACCACGCTTCAAATGAAATTCAGCCCAGCTACTCTGGACATCCTGCAATTAAGCATCCTTGCTCTTGGCTGACAACATTATTTGGTTTTTCCAGCCTTGCCCTCCTGTCTGCCCTCCAGGCTCCTCAACAGAACAGTTTCTCTCTACTCTCTCTGCACAACCTCTGTGTCTCCTTACTTAATCAGTCCCAGGCTCCTGCCTCCAAACATCAGTCCCAGCTTTTCTCTCTGGCTGGCTTGGCTGCTTCCATTGCCTGCTCTGTCACAGACTGGATTTTTTTTTTTTTTCCTCTTTATTGTATTTAGACGGAGACCTTTCTTCCTGACACAACCTTCAAATCACTTAGGAGCTCAGGAGGGATAGGATTCCTACCTCTCAGATTCTGTGCCAAATCTCAGGCTCACAGGGGAAACTTGCATGTGGGGATTAAAGTGAAAATCTAGTCTCACCACTGTATCCTTAAGCTTCTGTTTGCAGAGAGGGCCAACCTTTAGCAATGCCTTTTTCCTGCTAGAATAAAAGAAATTATTGCTGGCCATCTGTTCATAACACAATTTCTAATATTTGTAAGTTAGACACATTTAGATAAATTTTCAGAAAGAGGGGGAAAAACATATTTTAAATAAAAAAAGTCAGATTTTGAGGCTGTGCTTCAAAGCCTGAGGGCAGCAGAGCATTTCAAAGGAAAAAAAAGTTTCCATTTTAGTATGAGCAAAACTGTTTCTTTTTCCATAACCTTGTTCTTAGAAATGGACAAATTGTTTTGGGAGGTATTTTCAAAATAATCTGCCCAGTACAGACAGTCAGCATATCAATTTTCAGCCTAAGTGATGATGTTTTTTCTAAAGCTACATGCAACAGAAAATGTGGCCTCTGCTGAGAAATGTTTGCTAACCCCAATACAGGGAATGGCAGCACATCTACCTTAGAATATACATTATCACAAATTATGTCCTCTGAGTATTTCTTGGTTTTTTTCAAACACCAATTGCCTCATGGAAAGGCAATAGGGTCAGTGACTCTTACTTCCCTATTTTAGAGGCAGAGAAGCTAAAATAAGAAGAAGGGGAAAGAAAAATCAGGGATAGAATAAAAAAAACCTGATCTGCTCCTTAGTCCCCTGTTTATGCATCCATTGGTGCCACCTCTCAAGGGTGTAATTTGTGCAGTGGTCCTCTGGTCTGGAGTATTGCAGGTGTTCTTTACACTGCACAGACATGCACGTCTCGGATAACATCTCTAGTGCAAATACTGTGATTTAAATTTCTGTGATCCAAAGTTTTGGGGGCTGTAAGAGAGGGCACAGCAGGTGCAGGAGATATCTTCAAATAATAGTTCAATTCAGCTATGAGCAAGCAGCCTCCACACTCAGCTTGTATGAGTACATCAGTACAGTATAAAAAACCCAAAATTGAAATGTTTCTGTAGCATCTGATGAAACTCAGGGACAAGGCCCTGTGGGAGAGGTGTGAAGGGAAAGCTGTGGTGGGGCTCCACTAAGACTAAGCAGGTTGCTGGTGTGACTCACTGGGTGATGGTCACTGCTTTTGCTGTTGCTCAAAGTTCTCTAGCTGAGGTGAACCACAACAAAGGCACCAGCCAGAGATGCTGGAGGCCTCAGGCAGACAAGCTGCATAAAAGTTCATGGCACAGTCTGGCTCACTTGGGAGAGTAAGAAACACAGTTAAGTGTTAACAGTATGTGATGAGATCACCCCAGGCAGACCAGAATACTCCACTATAAACCATCCCACCAGCAACAGCAAATTCCTCAGCTTAAGCTGCAGCTCTCTTCAGAGGGAAAAAAAAAAAAAAAAAAAAAAAGAAGAAAAAAAAAAAAAAAGAAAGGAAAGAATTGCCAAATCAAACTGCTGACTCCTTTTTTCTTATCAAAACACCACAACATACATCTTAACAGCCTGAAGTAAATCAAATGCAGGACCAGATGGAACTGGCCAGCTCTTGACCCCCCATTGATATCAAGCGTGTGCCGCACTTCTCTGGCAGATTAATTTGTGATATCAAGTAACTCAGAGCCCCTAAAACTTTCAGTACAGCTGTTAAGACAAGGCTGAAGGTTTTCTTGGTAAGTGTTGCCACTAAAAAAATGTTGGAGTTCTTTTCACTAGGCAGAGATACTCCATTACTGATGTCAGATGACTTTGTTACCTCTATATGTCTTATTTTTAAATTCACACACAGTGGAACCATGGAACAAAAGTCAGACTTATGGCCAAAGTCTGCAGCTGTGCATCTGAGTGACTGGCTGTCCCCTTTTGCACATGGAGCTTCCTCTTGGGGGAATTTGGGAGTGTTCACAGAAATGCATCCATAAAGAAACTTTTCAGCTTGGGAAAAAAATGGGAGAAGTTCTGGGAAAAGTAGCACAGAGCGCATGGAATTGAGACCAGCTCACAGATGGCAGCTATGAGGAGAGCATGCCTGTCTGTGTGATCAATATAATCTATTGTGAAAGAGAGCTTCGGTGTTTCTATGAGGGAAAGAGATTTAGGAAGAAGGTCTTTAATTATTACCTGCAGAGAAGTTAAAGTGTAACTCGGCAGTAACGTACTCCAGTGCCAGTTCTGGGGTGTGGGTGCTGTGTCAGACATCCAGCCTGCCTGAAATGTGAATGTGAATGGAAAAAAAAAAAAAAAAATTAAAACCACATTTAATTTAACCATGAAGGAAAAAAATAATACAAAGCAAGCACTGACGAAACAATAGCAGAAAGAAAAGTTTATCTTTCAGGCTGCTGACCTCTCTTTGTGCTTCCTGTGGGGGAGCTGCCGAACAGGGTCTGGAGCGTGTAGCACCCACGCGAGAGCTTGTGTTCACCCCCTCACTGGTGTTTGTACCACGCCTCCCATAGACCCCAAATCCTCCGCCTTTCTGCCACGGCCTTTTCCTCGCACACGCTGCTCGAGGGCTCCGGTCATAATGCCCCGCCGGCTTCGACCGCCTCCCCCCTTCCCGGGGCTGCGCGCCGGCGGCGGCCCCGGGGAGGGGAGGCGGGCGAGTGCTGAACTTGCGCATCTCCTCGCCCCTTTGGAAAATCACCTCTTCTCTACAAAAAGGGCAAAGAGAGACCTGGGGTTTCCAGGGTCATGCCGATACGGCGGCGTATGTGTATATACACTTCTTTTCTTTTTTCATTTTTTTTTTCTTTCTTTCTTTTTTTTTTTTTTTTTTTTAAAGGAGTTTTGGTTCTTCCGCGGGTCAGTGTGTTAATTAAAAGTTGGTCCAGGTTGCTCACTTGCAGTCCCAGATGCGCTATTAACACATAGGAAAATTACTATTTTTTTAAAGATACCAAATGCAAAACCTCGATAGAAACCCCAATTCATCCTTACTACTAACTAATAGTCTCACAGAGAAAATCATTAGAGCTATAATTAAATATGAGTCTATTTTTGAAGAATGTCTTGCAAAATAGCCCCAAAATATGATGTAGTAATTTTTTTTTTCCTACTACAGGTGCTAGCTATATTTTCCCTCCATTTCCCACACCATGTATATTAAACAGGGAGGGAACATTGCTCTGTTGTAGGTGATGACCCCAGACTTCGCCAGAATATTTGCCTTCTCGGTATAAAATTGTGAAGTGGGTCTCTCTTTCAAAATCTCTATATTGGTTTTTATAATTACCTCGTGGTCTAAACTTCTTTGCAGTGTATTTCTTAAAGGATGAAAAAAAAAAAATCATGAAAGGAAGCGGGCGCGGAGGGGGGGAAGAAAGAAACAAAGTTTAACACTATTAACATTAGTGTTCGTCTCGTCCAGGCTGTCAGTAACTTTCCCTGGATCGGGTCCTATGTTTCTAGGCGCCCTGCTGAGGCGCGCGTCTGCCCCTGGCTGCCCCGCCTGCAGCTCGGCCTGACCCCGGCCCCTCGCAGGCCTGGTGCCGCTGCCGAGCCGCGCCCGCCCGGCCGCTTCCCCCCGCGCTCCGCCGCGTCCCCGGGCTTCGGCCCCCGCTTCGCGGAGCACTTGTGCTGCGCGCCGCGGAGTGTGATCTGTCACATTCCAATGGAGAGCTAAATAATTCCCAGTGTTATTTATTGCAGAAAAAGAGGAAAGAAAAAAACAAGGAAAACAAGCAGATTGCCCCCCGCCCCTTTCATCCCCAAGATTTTATTCTTTCTTCTGGAATATTTTCTCCGCGGCCGGTAAAACGCAGTTCACGGTTTGGCTTTGCTTTGCTTTGCTCTCGGCTGAGGCTGACCCCCGCAGTCCCTCCGGGACAAGCAGCCGCGGCCGGAGCCCCCGCGGCCGCCAGACCCGAGCCGAGCCCCGAGCCTGGGAGGCGCTGGGATTTAAACCCGGCCCGGTCTTGCTGTTACCAAGAGTGCGTGTTTTGTTGGTTTGGCTTTTTATTGGTTTTTGGGGTTTTTTTTCTTTCTCCTTTGTAAGATACGAAAGGTGAATAATGAAATCCCTTCGCTAAATAGTTTATGAGCCATGAGATTGGAAATGTGCGCAGATGGATCAGCGCGCCGGGCTGCGCGTCACTCGGGAGCTGCGGGAGCCGGGCGCAGGGAGGAGAGGGACTGCCCGTGCGGGCGCTGCGTGTCCGTGCCCGGGCACTGCCCCAGCGGGGCCACGGGAGGGAGAGCGGCTCAGAGCGAGAGGGCTCGGGAGGCGCTGCCTCACCCCCGTGCGCTGCCTCACACGGGCTCCTGCGCGGCCCCGTGGGCAGCACAAAGGCAGCGTGAGCCCGGCCCGGCGCTGCCGGGGCTCCGCGGCGGCCGCCTCCACCGAGGGGCGTGGGGGCGAGCGGGGAGCGACCTTTAGAACCACTTTGGAGAGTGCTGGGGGCGCGGCTCTGGCAGAGGGGGACGAAAGCTCCTTGCCTCGGCGATCCTGCGGCAGGTCATGTACGCGGGAATGGGGCAGGAGCGGGAATGGTGCGGTGCCGCTGCCCCCTTGCCCTCCCGATAAGCGTCCCGATACTCGCGCCTGTACAGGACGGACATTTCCCATCAAGACCTTGCCACGGGATGTCCGAGAGCATCGCTACCTCCCTGCCATAAAAACAAACCACTCGTCAGCTCCGCTCGGTGTGTGCCATCGAGAGAAGTCGCCGCGGTGCGAACGGGCACCATCTGTCCTGACATTCCGGGAGACGCAGATATATTTCTTTAGACAGGTCAGCAGTTCTTCCCGGCCAACCCTGTCAGGCACCTGTCAGGGGAGAAAACCTCTTCATAGCTGCCGCGGTGGGATACTTATCAGCGGCAACCCCTTTACTGACAGGGCCCAGCCTTAAGCTTCCCGCAAATCAATGTCCTCGGGGGACGGCGAACGTTCCGGTACGCTCAGACCTCCGACAAAACACGGGAGGGAGGGAGGACGGCGGGGGAAGCCGGCCCCGAGTAGTCCTTCCACCCCGAGGAAGGCCGAGGTAGGCTCTGGAGCAGGAGTTTCTCCCCGGGCCCGAGCCGTCGTGCCAGCCCCGCTGCCCACCCGCGAAGGGCCGGGCCCCGGGCGCCCGCAAGGACGAGGCTCCCTCGGCGCCCACGCGTGCCCGGGGCTCCGCTGCGCCGGGCGGGACAGCGGTGTGGGGGGACCGCACCGCGGAACCCCCACAGCCACGTGTGTCAAGGTGCTTTCTCTCGAGTGGCACCATCGCTCCGTGGCTTACCCAAAGCCCCAGTCAGACACTTCGTCCCTACCAAAGTACCGCCTTCTTTCCTCCTCCCCCCCCCCCCCCCCCAATAATTCCGACCTGTTTTCTTTCTGTTCCTCACTTGTTTTCAAAATAAGGGCACGTTCAGGGAAGCCTGCCTGCCCGCCTCCTGCACTTCCACACGGTATCGCGTAGACATCTCCCCCACAACCTCCCCCAAAAAAAAAAAAAAAAAAAAAAAAAAAAAAAAAAAGAGCAAACCAAACCAACAACAGGCACCACCACCAAAAGAAAAACCTCAAATGCGCCGTGTGATCCCAACTTGGAGTTAAAGTCGGTGCTAATACGGGTCAGTTCCTGCCCCTAGCTGGGAAGGCAGGGAGGAGGATGTAACGTACGGGTTGGTGGGGGGTGGCGGTGGGGGGAGAAATAAAAACAACCCCCAAAATAAACAAACAAACAAATCTAGCGCACTATCACAATAAAGAGTAATTCCTTTCTACACACCCACAACTTTAGCTCTGTCTGCTGCCTGGGGGGTTTTAATATTGCATAGAGAAAGGGGGGCTCCCTGCGCAAAATTACGCCTTCTCCTCTCATTTGTTAGCTGATTCCATCAAAAAGTTCGCTATTTATAGGCTACACACACGAACCTGGAGTAATACAAACCCTCCTGTGTTGTTGCCCTCGCAAACTGGCCGGTCCTGCAGCATCTGATCGGGTTTGTGTGTGCGCGCGAGTGAGAGCGAGCCACGCAGAGAGCGCTGCCATCCAAAAGGGGAAAGAAGAGCTCAAGCTGAGAGACTTATTAATTGCTAAGAGCTGCTCTGCCACCAGCCATGTGAGTACCTAACAATGATCACCTTTTGCACAGATGGTCAGCGATCAGGCACAGACACTTTCTGTCCTTTTCCTCCTCCCTCTCTTATTTTTTAATTCCCCTCCTGTATCCTTCCCACCCACCTTTCCTTTTTTTTTTCTTTTTTTTTTTTTCCCCTTTTTTTTCTTTTTAGCTTGACTTTACACGGTTTATTCCTCATGAAGAGGAGGAATGAAACGTGGGCAAACGCAGGGGAGAAAATGTTTCGGCCAAGAGGAAGGAAGGAAGGAAGGAGTGGTGAAGGGAGAGGAGGAGGAGGGTTTGTTAAGCGATCGCCTTGTCCCCTGAGTCCGAGACGGCTGGGAATTAGTAACAGCGAGATAGCGGAGGTTGTATCCCTCCCTCTTCCTCCGCTTTCCTTTTCCTGGAGCGCTCAGACCCCCTGATAATTATTACCCTGGTATCAACGCGGACAACGAGCTGTATTCATCAAACCTCATTTGGTGAAATAGAAAGGGAATTAAAAATAAATAAATACAGAGAGAAAGAGAGAGGGATCACGCGGGGATAAGGGGGTTCGATCGCTCCACGTACAGCAATGACTGTCCGTCAGCTCCCAGCCCGCTGTGCAGGCAGGTAGAAAGCGCCCGCAGAGCAGCCCAGTCCCGCGGGCTGAGCGTGCGATTTTGGGGGGGAAGAGAGAGAGAGCCCCGACCTCTCGCCCCCACCGCCTCTTCCCCAGCGCAGGGGCAGCGAGGGGCACGGGAGGCGACAGGCAGCGCCTTCCTTCCCCTGCGCGAGGTCTCAGCGCTTTCCCGGCAGTGCCAGACCTCGGCGTGACACAGTGCGTGAATCCAAGCCCCACGCAGCAGGCAGGGCACGGCACGTGGGTCTGGGGAACTGCACAGTTGCTTCCAGAGTGGGCAAAAAATGCCGTCTCGGAAAGGTAGGTGTCCTGGTTTGCGCAGGAATTCAGGGTTAGGAGATTCCGCGTGGAAAGGGGGTGGGTGTAGAGAGAAAGAGAATTTGTTTCCAGCGTGGAGAGGCGCTTTTCTAACCCGACACTCGAGCTCCAATCACACACTCTGAGGTTAGCGTAGCATTAAATTAACAGACAGGGTCGGGGTTATCCAGGGCATTATACCTCCTGCCCGGGATGTAACCTCTGCTCATTTATACACAAAGAAGAGGGGGAGACGGAGTTACATCAGGAAAAGCAAAGAGCACGGTGAGTATCGGTATTCGCTACTCTCCCTCCCATTCCTGGGAACAAAGTTCAAAGGCGGCTGGTGCGGGACTGGGGCTGGCTCCGCCGAAGCCCCCGCTCCCTTTGGATGCGGCAGGGCAGCCGCCTTTGGAGCCCAGCGCAGCCCCTCCGGGGCGAGCCCTCGCTGAGCAGCAAGGAGAGCTTGCGGTATCTTGTTTAGAACTTCGCTACTTTATGTAGAGAGGGAAAACAAAACTTAAAAAAAAAAAAAAAAGATTGACTTGGATGCAGCGCTATTTATAGGTGGCGGTAAAGGCTTCTTTTCAATAAGCAGCCGTGGAAAAGAAACGTCAGAAAACTGGCTGCTTTATTGATCCGAAGCGCTGGACGGTCACAGGCACGCCAGCCATGCTGCACCTACAAAGTTGCGTCTCCTCTCGGGTTAGGCAGAGAGAAGGAGAATAGGGTGCCGGTTTTGCTGACCACTAGATTGGACACGATTCAGTTCCCATACACAGGTAGAGGGCAAAAGAGTGTGAGATGGAAGACTTTTCCCTTTTCTTTCAGACACGCACACAATGCAGGGCGCCCGCAGGGCTGAAAGTGGGCCAGGGCTACAGTGTAGGTAGATCACACAAAGCAGAGGAAAGAAATCCAGTTAAAAATACATTAGTTGAAATCAGAGGACGAGCTTGATTTTTTTTTTTTCTTTTAAACAAAGGTGCACGTTAGAACAAGCTGGAAGCACTCTTTGTGCCTTACGGTGTCCCCCACGCCCACTGGAAATAAAGCAAGAGGCTTGCTCTTTCTTTGCATCTTTTAAACCTTGTTTTAATTAGAGTGTCCAAAGTAGGACACCCCGGTGGAAGATGTTTTCAAGTATCCACCTCTCTGCTGTAAGCAGAATTGCTGTCTGCTAAATTGCTTGAAACGCAAAATTCTGCCCCACACCCAGCTTGGTTTGGCACCTACTCACTTTTTTCCCCCGAAATTGCAATCGTTTATGAAAGGTTACTCCATTGGGAGGAAAAGAGAAACCCCAAACACCCAGCAGTAATGAGATCAGTGGATTCCAAGAGCCTCGCTTTGCTCTGTACAACAGGAAAGGCTTTGGACAGAGAGCGTCCCAAAAAAGTAATGCCATTTTCTTTCTTTCTTTTTTTTTTTTTTTTTTGAAGTCCCAGATTGGGCGTATCCTTACCCTTCTCCTTTAATTTATTTGATTAAATCATAACCAAAACAGACTCATCAGCTTCTCGTATTTCCTCAGCTGTAACCATACGCGAAACCTTTTATATGGAGACAAGTAATTGGCTTTAGTTAACTCAGGGCATAGGCTGCGCTCAAGTTTTCCTCCCGTTCCCAGGGCAGCGTTTCATGCAAACGCATGTTCCAGCTCTGCCTCACGCTCCTCTGTCGCCAACCTCAGGTTTTTAAGCTGTTTGCGCAGTTCCCCACCATTCTCTGATTTCGCTCATGAGGGATGATGCCGGCAGAGGCTTGCGGGACGAGGGGGCTCTTCCCCCTCGGGATTTGGGAGTGGCGGGAATGGTTTAGGGGGAGTCCAGCCCGGTTTGAACTCCGAACCGCTCCTGGACCGCGTCCCGCCTCGGTACCGGGCTCGCGGCTTGTTCCCGGTCGAGATCTAAATTCATCTAAATTCACCTTCAGGAAAGCAAGGTTCTGTTAGCTCACTTCTGTCTTAAATCAAAAAGAAAGAAAGGGGGAGGTGGGGGGTAAAGAAAAAACCTCTTGAAGTTTCTCAGGTAAAGCTCGGCTTTCCTTTGGTCATTACTCAAATGAAGAACAGCGTCAATTAACTCCAAATTGGAAATGCCTGCCCAAGAAGAATAATGATAATTCCCTGCCGTTCTCTAAGAGGTAGTTGCAGGATGGCACTTAGTGCGTGTGGTCCCTAATGACAGGATTGCTGCCCTGCCCGGGGTTTGGCTCTCCCTGCCCCCCGGGCTTCGCTCTGAGCTCGGGCAGCGACGCCGGGCACGGCTGTCCTGCCCAAACCTTCCCCCTCTTCCCTTGCTCGCTGTCCTCAGCCTCACGGGTTTACACCTCCCACAGCCAGCACAGTATGACCACACCGTGAAAACAGATCTAATTACCCCCGTCCCTCGATAAGAGGGCAGGGGCCTCTCAGCAACAGGTAACCGAGGGTACCTGCAGTTCTGCAAGGTTGTTTAACCGATAACAGAGGAAGCCGGACAGAGGGGTCGCTTTCGGTAAGACAGGGTGTGAGGGAAGCGGGACATTAAAAAAGGGGTGCATAGAGATACTTTGGCAAAAGTTTAAGGTTGCTGCGAGGGGAGCGGGACCCCCGCAGAGAAACGGGACCGCTGCTTCGCCTCGGCTTCTTGTTCGCTCTTTTAAAGCTGTCCCCAAAAGCCACTCAAGTCGTCCCTCGGAGCGACCCCAGCTCTGGGACCGCGGCTGTTGGGTCGATACGAGCTGCTCTTCTGGGAAACGGGTCGCCTCGGGCCCTGCGGGAGATGCTGCAGAGGATGCTCGGCGCGGGCCGTCGCGGGCTGTGCGGCCAGGAGGGCACGGCCGTGTGCGGGGTAGCGGGGCAGCCTCACCCCGCTTATCTCATCGCTGAGGGCACGGCAGGAGCGGGCGCTGCGCGGTCGGGCAACAACCAGACCCCGAGCAAGCACTGGCAGGGTCTGTGTGGGGGCTCAGAGCCCGGGAGGGGCGCCCACCGCCAGCCCGGGGCGTCCCCGCTCAGCAGCCGCTGGGGCAGGGGCTCTGTGGCGGGCGGGCAGGGCTGACCCTGGGCGGCCGGAGGGGAGGGTCTCCAGCCTGACCCGAAAGGAGGGAGCTCCCCCTTCTCTCCCCTCCCCTCCCTTTCCTACCCCTCCCCGGCTCTTTGTTCTTTGCCCCTTTGTTCTTCTCGAAGTTTCCAGGAGGGTTGCTGGTGCGGAGCAAAGTTGCCGAAAGCTGAGGAATTACATTAAGTGGATGTCTGAGCAAGGAAAGAGGATGGGGGTCCCTTCCCAGGGCTAAGAGCTATTCCCCAAATCCCGCCGCGTTGTCTGCTTGCGCAAGGGGTCGATGTGGGGCGCTGGAGCCGGGCCGTGCTCGCAGTGATGCTGAGGCAGAAGAGCCTCCTGCGGCCACAGCACCAAGGGATCGGGCACCCCCTTCTCCATTTAAACGCGTTTTGGGGAACAAACATCCTTTCTGGTGGGAAAGGGAAGAAAATAATAGTAATTGGTGAACATGTCGTAATGAGATGAGGCAGCAGGTGACAGAAATGAAGGTTTTCTGAATTCTAGATTTTAGGGAACACATATTGGTTTGGGATGCACAATCTTAGAATGGCTGTGTCTCCGTCACTTTCTTTTTGCTGCTTTTCGTGTTTGCTTGATAGGGCTCTGGTTAAGTGTTGTCAGGAGTTAAACAAGTTGGAGCTTAATTTCAAAGTAGATGGACTGTCTTCATAGAGCAGCATCACAGCTTAAAAGACAGGTTTAATGCGGTTAATAGGAGATCGCAGCATGGTTCAGAAGTGACAATAATACCAAAACTTCCTTAGAAAAGGAAAACTCTTTTATTTGGTACAACGTGGAGTAGTCTGATCTCCTCTTTACTAATCATTATTAAATGTTAGAGAACTTATTTTGGAAGCTTATTTTGGCTTCCACTAAGAAATCCCAAATAACTTCACAAATACCTGTTATCACAGGATTCTTACCTCTCCTCCTGATACATGAAAGTAGGAAAACACTTTATTTGGGTGAGCTAGGTATTTGGAAAGCTGATGTGAAAAAGGAAGTTTTGATATGGTGCACTGGAGTAGGTCACAGCAGGTTACAGAGAGAGCCAGATCAGCATCCTCAACTCCAGCATGCTCCCCTAACAGTGCTGCTGTGCTCCCACCTTTATATCCAAGGATATCATGGATGATTGTAGCACTTCAGCATTTGCTGAAAAGCTGCATGAATCTAATTCTTGTAACCATGACAATGTTCACAAATATTTGCTGTTTTTACATAGGTAGAGATCCTATAAAATTAATTAAGAAAATATTATTATTTGCAGTAGTTTTGTATCACATTAAAATGTCACAAATGTTTATTATGATGTGCGAAATTTCCAGAATTTGTATATTTTTTTTTCTGGTATTCAACAAAGTTGAGAAATGAGGTTAGATCAGATTTGAGTTGACTAAACAAATGTTCTAGACTGGGATTTCTAAAATGTGAATACATTTTAGGGATAAGCCCATCCTTTTCGCAGAGGTTAAACCTATTTTTCCAATGAAATGGGGTTTGATTTGAGGTGATGTGAGGCTTTGTTTTTTCTGATGTTGAGGGTGTACAATCCCAGTGAGAAATTTGGGAACCTTGCAGCTGTAAAACACAACTTAGCTATTTCAAGGTGGCAACTCAAACACAGAAAATGTCCATGAAAACTTTGACCTTTATTATTTAGGACTGTGATTCAGAGTTGAATGTACTAATTGGTCAGTAGCAAATTAGAGAAAGATACAGATATTGCATCAGATACTTTGGTGGTAGCTCGATTTTCTAGCTGTGTCTCCACACACAAGTCTCCTGACTTATTGTTTAAATCCAGAGGCCAGCAGCACTGCTTACTGTTCTGTTTATATCCCAGTGTTCATAATGTGGTGTTGCAATATCCAGGTAAAAATGTTCAATGCCATTTAGAACAAGGAATCCGCCTCAAGCAATGCTGTAATCAGTAATAGCCAATGTTACTGAGAGCAACAGCTTCTGCAAATGCCTTACTGCCACAAGTTAACCCAAATACAGCTGTAATTGTGCTCAAAACTAAATAAAAGCAGACGGATGAGAAGCAGAATAAAAACCTAATTGGAAAAATGGATTTTAGAGAATGCTGTGTGTGAGTAACAAAGGCTGCTTCTGTCTCAGTAACGATGACAATTA